TTCACGAAACAGGATATAGATTTTATTTTTGATCGCGGAATTCGTATAAAATTGCGCATTTAAAAATAAATTGACCATTAGATTCTATATCCGCGTTCGATTCCTCACGCACATTATAATTACAAATTGATAATTACAAATATGAAATGCGCTCCGAATGTTGAAACATTTTTATTGTCGCAATATATTTCAACTACCATTAATTTATTTATTCATCGTCTGTTCGCGAAATTTAAACCGCGATTTATCTTCTGATTTAATCGTTGGGTAACATCGAAACTTCATCTATTTTTTCACGTAACGCACTCCGCGCCCTCCGTGCGTAGAATATTTTCTATAAAAAGTCTTTCTCTTTTAATTGAGAGAGAGACATAAATGATAAATTTATTGATGATTTTTTTGGTCGCGGTAGACTATCAACTACGTTCAATCTAAAAATTCGAATCTAATCTTAATCTAATAAATTTTATATTGTACGTATTTTAAACATTTTCGTGTAATATAATATAACAAAATATTTTTTATATATGTTCGGTATATATATAATGTAACAGAGTATGTATAAATGTATATGTATATATATTTTATATATTTTCAATATGTATTATTATATTATTATATATGTATAATTATTATGTATTTTCAAATATTAATCGTTGGACTAAGAGAGATACCGTAATTATTATACATATATATTTATTATATTAATATTTAAAAAAAGAGGAAGCAAAAGAGACAGTAATTGAGAGAATAGAGAGATAAAGGGGCTCCAAAATATTTTCGTACTCCTTTTGGGACTTAGAAATATCTTGATATGTGATGCGATATACGACAAATTAATTTTTGAGAAACAGAAGTCTATTTTACTATAATTTTCCTATAGTTTTGTAATCTTTTATTTTTTACGGAGTTTTAATCATTAGCAGTATTAATTAATTCTTTCACGTTCATATGATCGCCCGATAATAGGTATACTGTCAGGTTTTCGCAAAATATTATACGAAAAATCGAGATATCTCTTGCAATATTGGTTGACGCGTAAAAATTAAGAGTAAAAGTTATGAGTTTCTTTTATATTTCGTGGCGTGCTACATAGGATTCTAAAAAGCCGGAAATGCGAAAAGATCTACTTATCCTAATATTTGGAGTCTTTATACAACATGCGAAAAATTATGATTTCCGAAACACGGAGATCTATTCTATTATAATTATTATATTTTTTTATTTTAACCATGTTCTTTCGAATACATGGAGTTTTAATCATTAACAGCGTTAATTAATTTTTTTTTTCACATACATACACATATTTATAAAATTACTTACATATTAATTCTAGTTACCCATTTTTTCAAAATCAATTAAATCAAAATTATATATATAAATCAAAATTACACATATTTAATATTTGAACTGTCAAATACACTGCTCAGCCATGATAAGCTTTTATTAATATGAAGTAATGCACAGCGCAATGTCGAGATAACCATCAGCATTGCGGAAAAGAATTAACAATACTTGCAAATATTAATTTAACGTTTTTTTTTTTTAAAGTAGATATATTTTTTCTTTAAAAATGGAATATGACCACAATAAATTTACGAAATTTTATTTTGTTCCATATCGTAACCGGGCGCAAGATTAGGTCATAAAGTAAATTAATCGGACGATTGAGAAAAAATTGATTTCCTATAAAGCACATGCACTTTATGGACGTTGATATATAATGCATACATTAAGCATTTCGAAAACAAACAAAATAGGCATGTAGCGTATAAATTATTTAAGAAATTTTCTATTGTGCAATATCGCATAACGATCGTGGGCTATGAATTACTCGTTGCGAAAATATAGGCGTAGCCGCAAAAATTGCACATCTTGTCTGCCTTCCCAAAAAGAGAACCTATACTCCTTTTACCCAAATCCACGCAATCGTTCATCAACAACTGGGATGTTGAATAAAAGAAAATTTTCGTTTTTAATCATATCGAAGAAATAGTCATTTTTCGCGTTGTTTGCATCTTCTCTTTAATCGGCTGTGTAATATATTAGCATGTTATTTAAGATTAAATATACAACTCCTCCTAAGAAATAGCTCTACATTATTTATTCATTTATATAAATTGATAGTCGTCCTTGCAATAAATGCATTGTTCATTAATACACAGATTCGCAGACGCAACATTTCTCGCGGCTAAACACTATAATTATTCGTCTGCTCATTGCACTAACAAAACTTGTTTCTTCCAATCAACCCGCCTACGGAAAAGATCACGATTATATTGACGCAGCGCATGTTAATTGATAAACGAATCAGATTTATCGCGAGTTGACACGCATCTTAAAATAATACGCTGCTCGTCGGAAAAAAAAACCGGAGTCCAGATAATATAAATATTCGGGCGCGAATCCGGCCAGGTTGCATTGCACTGGCCGGATACCGGTGATTAAAAGGGGCACGCGACAGGTGGCGATTATTATCGCCGATCCTTATCACACCGACGTCTTTCAAGGGCCCGCGATTAATTGCCATTACGCGATATTACACGCTCGCGAAACGAGACGCGCCACTGATCGTGAAATTTGTGGATGTCAGCCGTCCGGATCGGCGCGCATAATAAACGCCCGGGCGCGTTCACGCGCAAGGCCGACCGTTGCTTGTCGCGTCGCCCGTTAGGCTCGTTCGCACCTCGGGGGTATGTCCGCTCCGGATGAAATTGGCGCTATACATCATTCGCCCAAAGGCATAATCAAGTCGGAGCGCGGCCGTGGCCGTGGTCGAAGCATTTACCTCCGGCGCATTTACTTACGCGTCCCGATCTAGTTGCCCCTTCTCTGTGCGTTATGCAAATTCGCACTCTGGCGCTCATCAAACTCCACGTCGGTCACGTGAAACGGATAAGAGCACGAGCTATGATTCCGGATCGGCCGCGCGAGAAAGATCGCGGGGAGGAGATGGCAGGAGAGAGATCCGGTGGGCCTGAACGAGACTAGACCCGGCGCGGCGGAGCGAGGAATCGTCGACCGCCTCCGATTATCAGATTGACTGGTCGGCCGAGTTATACGCCGATGCATGCACGCATTCCCAAATATCTCCCCGACTCTCGCTCTCGTTTCTACCGTTCCTCATGCGCTTATCCTTGCCTTCTCTCTGCGCGCCGTGACAGCGAGCTGCGCCGTGACAGCGAGTTGCACCGGGCTGCTATCGCGGGCCTGTATACAGGCGTGTACAGGGGTTGATTTCACGTTCGCCGAACTAATCGGTAATTCATGCCGGTTGACATATAGCTATTGTCCCACGCGATACAATTCGCCCCGTCGCCGTCGTTCCCGGCGAGCGTATAATATATGTATACGCGTTGCGCTCTCTGCCTTCAGCTAGTAGTGGATTTACAGTTTCTAGAGCCCTAAGCGGTACTATATTTAGAACTTCCCATCTTATAAGGATCTTATAAGAATCTTGAAAATAAAACAACTCGCATTACCCATTAATCTACAAAATTATTATTCGCTGCGACTGTGTTTATTAATAGCGCAGACTTTTTGAAAATAGTTATTTCCAGAATGGTTTATCGTTCACTGCCTCCAAGTGAATCGAGGCCCTTAAACAATCGTTTAGAACGCTTATCGCTAAATCTGCTACTGCTCTCAACTCCATCACACCATTCTATGCCAGACTCTGTCCTCTAACCGATCGTTCGTGGGCAGAGATTCCGTGTCGGGGCAACAACTCATGCCGGTACAGTACTCGGTTTTTCGCGAATGCCATATACTGATATATGATCGACAAATGATCGGGTGCATTGTACTCCCCGGCAACCCGGAGCTCGCGTAATGTATCACCGATTGCGTGGCGAATCGCACGACGCGATGTAATGTCACTCGCATTCCATATAAGTGAGTCGTCGAAAAACGATCAAGGACAGGCATTTGACATTTCTGTAATAGCGATATATTGATGCAATACGAGATTAAGAGATCTTTACGTTAACTACCACAAAATATTAAGCTTAATTTTGATGATTTTTTTATTGTAGATTAATACATGTGCATAGTTTGCTACAACTTTCGATATAAAATCTCGATATCGGTTTATTTTTGAGTTTATGACCGCGGAGAATGTAATTGGAAATATAAAATGATAATTATCGTATTATTTTATTCCATAAATGCGTACAAATAATGCGATAATAATACTCTGAGAAAACGTTCAGATTTTACGTATGATATCTTCTCATAGTCGAGATTATGTTCGTATTGTATAGAGACGGGTCGGGTTCTAGGATTAATATTTTTCATGTGGAGAGAAAGAAGCTTATATCCGTTTGAATACCGCGATCATAATACACACTAACCATCTTTTATATCCCGCGAGCGCGCATATCTCGGTAGATGTAACACAAGGATCCTAGTACGCTCGTAACACAATGCGGACAAATGACGACGACATTGCGCGAGATCGCGGTATACCGAGCCACCGTGTACCAGCTCTAAAATGGATTTAGTTGACGCTACTGTACGAGATAGAAAAAGCATCTTTCGAAAAACGGCGGCATGATGACCTCTCAAGCCCGTATCAGACTATGCATTGAGTTTGAAATTTGACCAATCAGAACAAGGAAATTTTAGTTCCTTTTATCCTGATTGGTCAAATTTCAATCTTCAATACGTACTCTGATACGGGCCTGCGAATCGTCAATCATCCAATCAGATCCTTGGCTACTTTGCTCTGATTGGATGAATGACGATTCGCAGTCCGTACTCCAAATCCGATTCGAGTCCGCAATGCGTAGTGTGACACGGGCTTTTGGCTTCTTTCTGTCTATGGCTGCGGTCTGGAAGGCACTAGAAATGCTTCGAAGCATTTCAAATTGCATTAACCAATCAGAATAAATAAATCTTTACTCTTTTTGTCCTGATTGGTCAATCAAATGCTTCGAAGCATTTCTAGCGTTTTCCCGACCGCAGCCTATAATATACAATATACATAACATCAACTATAGATTTGCAGTTACAGAGTACAGGATACAGAGTGCAGAGTAAATTTCGGAACATGGTCATGCTTACGTCTGTTCCAATTCTTAGTTCTAACCTTAAATTGCCTTAAATGTATAGTTGATTAATTTAAAGATTTAAACATATGGCACAATCAAACTATTACGACGAGGTGGAAATCGAGGATTTCGAGTACGACGAGGACGAAGGAATTTACTATTATCCATGTCCGTGTGGCGATCAATTTCAAATATCTCTTGCCGATCTGGCTAGCGGCGAGGAAGAAGTCACATGTCCTTCCTGCTCTCTCGTGATTAAGGTGATTTATGATAAAGAGTTATTTCGCGCTAAGCAAGAAGAAGTTGAAAAAAAGAGCGAAAAGAAGGAATTGATAGCGCAAAAAGTTTAAAGTTTAAACAAAATTATTTTTGAGATATTTGAGGTAAGTAGGTTAGAGGATTGTACTAGAAAAGTTCGGGTATCAGAAAAGATCCTATAATTAACGCTTAATATGTACAAAATATTAATTTGTAAATTGTCCTAAAACTCGTACAATTTAAGAAATATAAATCAATTACGGCACTTTGTTACAAATATACTTTGTTACATAGAGAAATTTGAAGAACGTACAATTTTCAGCTTCAATATTTTCAGAAATATTGTTGATTGATTTTTGTAACATTGATCAGTGTTATATATCTTTATATCTGTAATTATCAGGATATCATATGACAAAAATGGCAGGACGTGGTAAAGGAAAAACTAGTATGTCTTTCTCTATGGAGCAATTGGGGTTCTCTAAGGGAGAAATGCTACCAGCGCCAGTTTTGCAACCATCACCAACTTATCCCATGTTGGATCATAAGCCTTTACCAATACAGATGACAACCGAGATGAGCTATTTAGTAGAGTTAAAGAGAGATTTTACTGAATATATGCGAGAGTCGTCAAATAATGTGCAAGCTGTCATATTGAATGAAGACATTGAACGATATTGTGAGGATTGTGACGAGGCTATCACAGGATATAATAAATCAGAATATGAATCGAAATATGACTGGAGCAGAATGCCAATGGAATTAAAATCATCGCGGAAGCGTAAAATCCAGCAACAGAATGTAAAGCCGAATAAGAAAAGGAAAATCATGGAAACATCGAACATTGAAAACAAACTGACGGAATTAGAGAAAGAGGAAAGCACACAGCGGCTTAATAAAGAGGAGGAGGTGGAAGAGGAAGAAGAGGATGAGGACAAAAACAAGGAAGAGGAGCGTGTAAAGGATGAGGAGGAAATAGATGAGGAAATGGATGATGGGACTGATTACGCAAATGACTATTTTGATACTGGCGAAAATTATTACAGTGAAGACGATAACGATGATGGACCTGTTTTTTGATAAGTGAATTTAATGCATTCTTTATTTTAGAATTATTGATCTTTTCAAGATTTGAATATTGATAATACCCATGCTGCAAACTTAGCTCATTTATGTGATATGTAAATTTTTTGTTATTTGTAATCACATATGCTGTTAATTTTATATAGTAGCATTGTCTAGGGATAAAAATCAATTAACATACGGGTTTAATTAATGTTAAATTGGGGATGAATATATCATGGCGAGCTCAATTGAATTTACATTGCATATTTTTTCCATTTCTTTAATTATATGCACAGAAAGCAAGTTTTTGATAACATCAAGTAGTAGTTCTAATAATAACAAGTCATTTGTTAACACATAATCATTTATTGTATTTGACTCTTTATTCTGATTGTATTTGATTCTTTATTTTGATTGATCAAATTCTAATCTTTAATCTTAATCTTTAATGCATAGCTTAATACCAGCCTTTTGGCCAGCTGCATTGGTTGTTAGATGAAGATAAAAATAAATTCATTTATTCACTCGACAGATAAGAGGATATTAGGAGGAGAATTTATGCTGTGAAAAATATGTGACATTTAAATGGTAATTATAGTAAAAAATTCAAGTAATAATCTCGAGTTAATATATTTTCATACCTAAGAAATTAATTTAAAATTATTTGCAATTGTTTAATTAATATTATATCTTCATTGTAATCCTGTTTTATTTCTCACTTTCCTTCTTTGTCGCATTTTATAATAGGTAATTATTATTTATATTATGGGCGGGGCAGAAAAATCAGTCGACGACGGTTTGGCAACCCATCATACATTCAGCGATGTCCGAAAGACATCACAAATTCTTCGAAAATTAATTTCAACATTGATTGTTATGTAGCTCTTAAGTTTTCCTTCAGATTTCTCATTCGCACTGTTCTATGACACGTTGTATAATAGTTATTAGCAAAATTGATTTTTCTCGGAAACGATACTAGATTCTTCAGAGTACTCCGCTTTCTATTTAAACTTTTTTCCATACATTTACGCACAATTACAAGATAACACACAACGTGTCCAGCACGTTAATTTGCCGCAACGAAAAGCTATCTTGCTATAAACGATAAGAATTCATAGCTTCAATAACGAATATCATCCACAATATTTTCCTACGTACTTTTTGTCAATGGAAAAGGGTAGCAAGAAAATGTAGATTATTTCGCAATGTATATATCTTACTAAAAAAAGTCCAATAGCCTTTTTTTCTACAAATTTTCTTATCTATATTGTAATCACAACAATCAAGTGCGTTTCGATTAAAATAAAAGAAAGAGCAAAGCGTATCTTCAAATATGGAAATAATACACATAGATAGAATACATCATTAGCTAACTACAATAGAACCTCGAAATAACAGATATTATCCCTTCCATACGCGCTGGGCCACCCGCCACCCTCGAGTAGCATGAGTAGAGTGGGAGGAACAATCCAAGCGCGTAGATGTATGGGCGCAATGTCCTCTCTCGGCGGTGTACTTGATAGAACCCTATATAATTCAGAACATTGCAACAATATTGCGGCAATGTTCTATGCCATATGGGATGCATTTGTGCAAGTCTCACGCAGCCGCACGGCCCTGTATTTAACGGGAGTAAAGGTATCTTGTACAGTAGATCAGAGCCCCGTACAGCGCACACTATTTCGAGGTTCCACGTATAAGTCTCGCAACATGGTCCAATGGCACAATAGAATTATTTTATTATTTATGAATCAAAAATACGAAATTTCATAGCGACTATCTTAAATGCGCTTGTGAATAATAAGCTTGCGAAATATTAATAAAGTATTAATAATAAAAAAGTTGGATGCGATGGACGTAATATTTGCCTTTCCTTTCAATTGTTTCGGAGAGCGAAGACAGATTGTTTCTCATAGATAGATTGAATCGCATTTTAATGAACATGAGACGCGGTCTAACATTCTGAAAATCACAAAACATATCGACTTTTGAACTCGGACGGGCAGTGTAAGCTTGTAAAGTGCTAATTTGTGATGTGCTGTAAGCCACATATATGTACGTACCATATTTTCGTTTTGATAACGTTTATATCGAATGCTTAAATCTTTATTGTTAAGCAAAAAGAAGCAAGACTTGTCTTATTTGAGTCAAGCGCAAGTATCATTTTTTTTTACTGCAATACATGGGTGTTTAAAATATTCTTTTTTAATCCATTAATTTTTATTTCCATTATAATTTCTATTTTATTTTTTATTTTCTCTATTTAATTTTATCTTATTCTTTTTTAATCCATTTTATTTTATTTAAGATTATATATGAAATATAAGCTCGAAAGCTGACATTATTCGATAAAAGTTTCTTCTATACTCTAATGACTGTATATAGAGAAAATAAAATAAAATAAAAATTATAAATTAAATGAAATATAAACAAATCTCTTCCGTATTTTTGTAATAGTATAAAATCTGTTAATAATTAAAGATTTGTAGTGATCAAAAGGCAAAAACTTTTTGTCTTGAAATTGATTGATCGATCTTGAATTTCTCATTGAATTGATTGCCATAAGTAAAAGTAATCATATGTGTTTAATTCAAATGTTAAGAATGTTCGTACGGAAGCGCACAACAAGCCAATAATCGTATTGAGATTGCATTAGACAAATGAATTCAGAGTTGCAACCGGTCCTTCATCGTCACTTAAACGATGCTACGAAGCGTCTATGTCTGTAATGGAACAATCGGTGACGATGATAACTCCTATCAACCCAGATAGTCTACTGTCTGTAAGGTTGCTGTCATGTTCTTAACAATTGTATTATTGTTGCCAACATGACAGAAATACAATACGATTAATCATATTAATCAACATTACAGCAATATGATTAATCAATATGATTAATTACACTTATTAGTTATCTGGGAATGGAATCTGGGAATTTAGACGACACGAGCGTCTAAAAGACGTTGGGAAGAGATGTTTGATTTACCTTAATCTTTTTGAATATATCTTACGGACGCCCATTAAATGTCTCTTGTGCAATTTCGTGTTATTTGGGAAAAATGGTCGGCATTTTGCTCGATGCTGCAGTAAAAGATTATTTATTTTGAGTTTTGTGAATCAAAACGACATGATTTATTCTAACAATAAGTATCATTATTATTCTCTTTTCTTTAATTCAGTGATTGCTAACAGTTTTTCTAACATCAAGTAAGAATATTTAATCACCGCGTTACAATTGCGACATTGAAAGGCAAAAGGCAAACGTACAAAAAGGGTTATATTCTTGCCCAAAATCTGTCGCAATCCTAAGTAAAAGATCATTCTCTGGGTGAAAAATTAGGCCGACTTTTTATGCAATGGACTTTTGGAGGGAAGCGCTACTGTGCGATTCATATACATAATAATATGCTTCAGTAATCCTCAGATTTTTCCCATTTTTCGAATAATTTAAGAATTTTATTTTGAGAGTTGTTAAATAAATATTGCGAGCAGTAAACTGTGTAAGTATTTGCCATTCCCTTGGACATTTATACATAAAATTATACGATTTAAATTATAAAAGATACTACAGTATCTATTAAACTAAAATACATTTTTATTCGTAGATTTTTCATTTTTTTGTAATTAAATATAAATATAAAAAGAAAAATAAGTATATAATAAAATTAAATAAAATTAGATTAAAAATCCCATCTCAATTTTTTTATATCATCTTTTAATCTGAGGATCACTGATCGATTTGAAGCTTTCACATTAGCTAAACTTATTTACGCTGGATGAAACTTGTTTATCGTTCTCTCACACAATCAGGTGTTAACAATTATTCTTGTCATTCGAAATCAGCTTCAGGTTCAATATCGAGTAACAATATCATCGTCAGCGATGGCTCGTTTCAGAGTAGCACAATTCAAATTTCCTTTCATCTTGGATCTCGTCATGTTGTGAATCTAATTCTGTCCACCCAATTTCTTCCGTTAATTCTTTATTCCAGCTTTTGTTTTTTTTTATGTATATTTAGCGGTGTCTTCAGTATTATTATTTAACATCATTATTGTTATAATTATTATCGTTACTGCTTCATTGCAGTTGGTTAGCTTTTGGACGTGGATCTGTGGATGGAGTGTAATGTATATGCGTATACACGCTCATAAAAAAAAGAAAAACTCCATAGATGCCTTCTTTTGCCTTGTAACATTCTCAAACGAGAACGAGCGAGTGTTTTCCGAATTCTTTGGTTCGTCACTGATAAATGATGGAAATAAAAATCGTTTGTTTTAAGCATCTTGCAATAGAACATCAAAAAAGTTTCTGTTTAAATGTAATTTTTTTGTTTTTCTCAAATTGAACATATTCTATATTTTAAAATATTTAAAATATTTTTTCTTACTTGTGAGGATGTTTAATGGTGATTTTAATAAGAACATTTTCAATATTTATTTCGCAAGTTCGAACGAAAGATCGGTAAACTCTCGCACATCATTGATCTCTCTTCAAGCTTTTTTAGATCTTTTTTCGTCATTATTATCGTCACCATTGTTTTCTTCAAAGAGGAACGTACGAAAGAATATATACACATTTGCATAAGAAAACAGACGGAATATACAGCATGCATAGATAGCGTCCACCTTTTTTTCATTCTTTTTTCTTGTTTTTTCGATGCGCGATTTCGATTCGCTTCTAATTCAGAAATTCGTATTTTCATTTTCGATAAATTTTGACATTTCGATAGATCGAGTATAACGCTGGAATCGCATTTTTCAAACGTAATCGTCATTATTATCATCGTCGTCACGCACACAGCAATATTTTATGTTGAACTTTAATTGCGAAGATGTTCAACGCCCTATATACTCTGTGTGAAAAAACACTATACTTTACTACGTGATTTATCTCGCTTCGGAAGTGATGATTAAATTGTTCGAGACCATCCTCCCGACCCATTTACGCCGCGATTCGCGGTAAACGATCTAATAAAAATTAATCTCTCATTTCTGATTTTCAAAATATTTTTGCTATAATATTATGTGATGAATTTATTTATACAGCCTCTTTGCCGTGAAAAAGTCGCGTTGCTTGTAGACTGAGAAAAAAAAAGTTGTTAACTTGATTAAATGCGTTCAACTGATTACTATTTCTTTAATTGAAATATTTAAATTAAATACGACATATTAAATCTAACATGACGTATATTTGACTTAAATACATAAATATTTCAATTTAAAAAATGGTAATCAGTTGAACATTTGGTCAAGTTAACAACTTTTTTTCTTAGTGTAGCCGCTGAATTTCGCGATGCATAGTGAAGTTCTTATTTTTAGAAATTGATATAAATTTTAGTTGCAACGCAATTAAAGAAGATTTCTTTTAGCTAGAAATTATTAATAACAATGAATTGATAAACTTGTCCACAAAATCACACGCGAGATGGTCGAGATTCGGTTTGGAAATGGAGTAAGTTTTCTTGTGGCGATAACATGTAAAAAAAGAGAGATCTCCTCTCTATTTGAAAAGAAATTTATTTCGCGGTTCTTTATGCCGAGAATTCCACAGATCTCTTCAATCTAGGTGTGTAATTCTTATCTTAGACAATTTTCTGCACAAAAAGATAAGAAAAAAATTAATTTTCGAAAATTTAAAAACCAGCGCAAACAGAAATTATACATATATAAATATACTACAACTAAATAAATATTTTAAATATATTACATTTAAATAAATATACAAAATTGATCATTCGATTCATGCAATTGATCAATTCGGTTGTAACCACCCTCCCTCCTCCTTGTAAAATGTTTAGGCATAACAATCTTCTGCAAATATTAAGTTACGTAATATTATTTCACTGAAAAATATTATTTAATAACGATATTATCGATCTGAAGAATTCTCAATGCAATACCGTACTTTATTTATAATTCGCGAGTGCTATACCCCATAATTGTATACATAGTGTGTATACGTGTTTAATATAATTATTATATATTCCGTATATAGACTTATATAAAACGCACGAGAAGCGATTAAAAGGCTACGTATTCTTCCCGATTTTATTTATTTATAGCAACAAGCTGTTTTTTTTACCTATCCATACTCGATACTCGGCTTCGAGATTTATAAATGGAAAAAGAATTCGGATTTAACTATGTGTGGATCTCGTATGTACGGGATCACTTTAATATCCTATATAACGTTAATGTATTCGTGTAAATGTGTATTCGTCTTAAATACTTGTTCACGTGTCCGTAAATGCACGTATGTATGTGCGTACGTGTATTTGCATCCGCATATATATATGTTTGGTGTGTATGTGTGTGAGTAAAAAGAAAAATAAATTTTACATCCCATTTTTTGAACTAATTTTGCACAAAGAAGAAACATGGCTATATATTTATTCCACATACTAGTATAAATAAAAACAACGTATTTTAATAGATACACTTTGCAATGATATTTTTCTATTTTTTACATGAAAAGATTTCAAATAAGATGGATGAGCAAATAAATTCTTTACCCCCACTATATGCGTCTCACGCGATCTGTTGTATTTTATTTTTGCAGCCTATGAAATCTTGCAACGAGATCACTGATCAATTAAAAGATGAAATATGCGAATACCTTTTTTTTGCGTGTGTATCTGTATACATATGTAAGCATGTGTGTATAAATGTTAGGTAGTTATGTTCTCAAGTTATTCCTTGAGTTCGAGACCGACGCATAGCCTGCACGCACCGTCATCGTATAAGTTTCTCATGTCAGTCCTTTATCCTGATTCGGATTCTTCATCTTGAATTTTTTCGTTTGGAATTACTTCATTTTTTGTTACTAATAATGATATCTGCGCGGATCCACGGTCCTACGATCTATCTTCTGATTGCGAAGAAAGAGCAGAAAATTTTTATTGATGATCGATAATTTGATGTAAAGGTTTCTTTTTTAATCTTTTCGAAATTGTATCTCCGTGAAAGTTTCAGGATCTAATCTTGTTTAATCCGAGGTACTTAATATCATCTTGATCATTTTGATCGTTTACAATTTGCTTGTTAATTGCCCTTAATAAACGCGTAAATCAATTATCGATCATAATTTTCAGGAATCTTCAGTAGCGTTGATTAATCGTTATAATTATCCCTTATTTTTTTAACTTTTAACGAGAATTTTTTTTTCATATTGGTGATCGCACTCTCTGAGAAATTCTAATTTATATTCGGTAGGCGTGATTCTCTTCTGCAACTCTCGAATATCAGAATCGACAATATGCTAATGCGAAGAAACCTGAAATGTTTCGGTCACGAAGATCTTGAATTATCATCGGCGATCAATAGGGATTTTTTTACGGGGACATTATCTCGGCTCATTTCTTCGCCTCTTTGCTTACGTACTACAATCTCACTTCCCGAGCAATTAGAAGCTATGAAAGTACGTGGACAGACCAACCGATAGGGAGGTGAAATCTTGTTCCTTTCCCGGAAGGGCTCATCCTACCTTTCCGAAACGAAAAACGTGGAATCCTTCGTTGAAACGTTCTTTTCCTGTTTTTTTTTTTTTTTTTTTTTTAAACTCTCGGTGATGGTGAGTCGAACTGCCCTTGCACTCGATGATAAGTCAAATTGCCACGGTCAACTCGTATGTTAGATATTTCGCACGTTTTGATATTAATTAATAATTTATTTCTTCATTTATCACAAATTGCTTATAAAAAACTGCTCTAGTTAACAGTTAATAACGTTCGTGTTAAACAATAAATATCTAGATTTCGATTATCATGTTACAAATGAGTTTGAGAGATTTGCTGTTTAATTTAAAAATTAATAACTAACGAAAATCACGGATTATTGCTGCGACGAAATATAATTACCTCTTTATTAATACACAGAAAAAACCGAGATCGTGATATACTTTTATATATTATTTTTAACATCATCTCATCTTTGAGAAAGTGGAGATCAAGAGATTTAATGTCATCGAGTGCAGGCGAAATTCTATTCTTCGAGTGTCAGTAGAAAAGGATATACATGAAGGTTACGAATAGTATATACATACATATATATACACACTATATATATATATATAATTCTCCGTGCCATTATTACCCTTTCCCCAGAACTTGTCAAAGCGATTACGCGCTTTCTCGAGAACGTCACTCGCCGCCGAGCGTTGTGTCGAATCCGGCACTATTGCTGGTGCCTCCAAGACGTGATAACCGCCTATGGTACTACTTCCGGTGCTCGTGGTACCGCCGCTGCCGCCAGTATCCTGAGGCGACGACTCAGCCTCGAGAATACGATAGCTCTGTTGCGTTGCAGGCGACATAGATGATGATGTTGCCGCCAGCGTCGTCGTAATTGTTGTCGGTGGGCTGTTATCTTTCTTCTTCTCCATTTCGGAGGTCGGATCCTCCAGGTATCTTAAATTCGTACCCGCCACGGATTTTACCGACGGTTCTGGGCTCTGTCGTTCTTTCGTCTCCTCAACAATGCCAATGATCTAGAGTTGAATACAAAAGAAATAATTCCAACTATCTCCTATAAGTTAGCGCTATTTTATAAAATAGTTAATGCAACAGTGAAATTAAGCGTTGAAAAATCATTATATTTCTGGATAGAACCACTACCCGATCTAAGCACGGTGCCTGTCCGCCATGTCGTATTATTAGTCTAATTCTTCTTTATTTTATTTAAATTTTTAATTTATCATATCTCGATAATTATTCATTGGAAGAAAAAATGGTAAAGAATCTCGGCACGGTTTAGTCCCAGACATATACTGTTAGAATAATTCCCAAAGTTTTGTTTACACCCTGTATAATTATGCTTCTGACCTTCTCAGTCTTCGTGGATGTATCCTGTATGTTCGTGGGTAATGGGCTATCTCTTTCTGAGTCTAGATCCTTATGGCCGTTTATGCCGCTAAAACTACCGAGTGAGACGCTTTCACTCTCTGGTGATTTGTAGCCAGAGTGCTGGGAATGTTGTGATTTGTGTTGTGCCGCGAGTTCAGGCGGTGCCGATTGCGGTGCTGATGGTACAGACGATGGTGCCCACGTCTTCGTCTCGCTATGCGGACGCGTGAGAGGCTCTTCGAAAGAAATTGTTAGAATCATCAGGATAATATTATATCTCATTATATATGTATTTAACGTGAAATTATAGCCACAATTACTAAATAATGTAAAAAAAAGATACCAAAATCGACATATTTTATTTTTGAACTTTATATATATATATTAAAAGTAATAAAAGTATATATTAATTAAAAGTAATAATAATCGAAAAGTATTTTAGAAGGATTAGTTGTGTTTTTCATGAAAATTTTATTGAGAAAAAACATTAAAAAACCGATATATATCTATTATTATAAAAAAATTATGCATACTTTTCCGTTCCTTAACACAGATAGCTTTTGTGTAAGCAACTACTATATTCGCAATAGTTTAGTTTGAGCCATTTATATTTTTATAAATATATACAAAAATATATATATATATATAATCTCTAGTAAAAAAGGATAATAAAATAATATGAAGAGGAAATAAAAAAATAAAATTTAATAAAGCTACCTGTGTTAAGGAATAGAGAGGTATGCATAATTTTTTTATAATGATAGATATATATCAGGTTTTTAATGTTTCTTCGCAATATAAAGATACGCATCAATACATATAGACACAAATACATGTACGTACGACAAAAAATATAGAAAGACACAATGCGGATGTGTGTGTATACACACGAGACACGCGATACATAGATACATATAATAATATAGTGTGCGAGTATGTGTCGCCTAACAAGGATTGATAAAAGTTATAACATATACGCTTTATCGTACTAAAAATATTAAAATTAATTATACTGAAAAAAATTGACATCAAAATCTGCTTCCAGAATTATGTTATTTTTTAAAATCTTCTCAATTATTATCTTTGCATCGATCACATAACAATCCTTCAAAAAATTGAAAAATTGTCTTTAGTTATATTATTGATATATGTATATCATCATTTCTCATTATATATCAGAGACAAGAAAGAGATACATAATCGATAATCTATTTCAATAACGTTCCACCCAAGAACACATAATTGATATTGTTAAGATTTAAATATTAGCAATGGAAGTTGAAAAGGCTCTGATATAAAATATCCATAAACATGGAAAATGGACTAAATAAGAGCCAGGCGCAGTAAGCAGAGCGCAATTCATTATGTTCTAATGTGATTTATTAATTAATTCATATTCGTACGTTTCAGTTGCTTGACAACAAAATAATTAAAATAACAGTGCATATGTCCTTCTGTAACCTCGATAATTTCTACGACGGAATAAAAGCCATAAGTCTCCCTTCGGTTTCACACACACAAAGCCGTTGAAAGAGATATTATACATCTATAGTTTGGAAGCATTGTGTAATGCCTAAATACTCAATATAAATCTTCACGCATATCATTTTTAAGACACCGAGAGTCACAACAGTCGGAACAACTGTCAGTTAAATAAACGTCAAAGTATTTCGTTTGTAAAAATCAATCCCGTAAAAATCAATGAGACAGATGACAGATCGATATCCGTAATTATGGGTCCGAGTGTGCGCGTTCTACGCAATATCATTGGCAAAGTTTTATCATTTATAACTCAAAAACTATTGTCAATATTTTTGTATTAGAAGATTTTTTATTTTATTTTGCATCTAGAATATGCAATTAAAATATTGTACAGAGGTTGTGAGCACTTTGTATACATATATACATGTGCACGCACACGTACACACACACACACACACACACACACGAGCACTTTGCATACATATATACATGTGCACGCACACGTTCACACACACACACACACACACACGACACGCACACGCACATACACATACACATACGGGGTGTTCGATTTAATCTGTCTGATTATATTACGTAAAAGGATTATATTAGTCCTTTAGATGAAAAAATAAAAATGGGACATTAATGAGGTAGCCCGTAAACAATTTCGAGTCGAGTCACGCCAATCTACGAAACCCACCCATTACATTATGGAGGAAAAGAGGCGAATTTTTCAAATAAAAATTCTCGAGAAAAATGACACCATTCGATCTTGAAGAGACAAATCCAACGATCTATTATGTTAAAAGTGTATCTTCGATATTATGGTCGCGAATTTTTAATAGTGGCCTCCGGAAGATATCGATTTCTGTTCGATCAATCTGTCTGCAATACCTAACTTAACATTTTAGCTTGTCGGATTTGTCTTTTCGAGATTACATATATATATATATATATAATATATATTATATATATTATATATATATAAATTCTTTGAAATTATAATTTAAATTCAATAGATTTATACAACAAGAAAATGTCTTTACTCTTTTATTTTCCATAATTTACTAGAAAAAAAAATATAATTTATTCTTTCATAATATTATCTAAGAACTTATCTTAATATCTCATCTTAAAGGAAAAGAGAGATCATATTATGCTTTATGCAATAAAGTACTCTGCAGTAAAGTATAATAATAACTCTCTAACATGTGTACTAAAGTTTAAAATATTTATCATAATCACAGCATCCAAATATTAACTTCGCTAAATCGACACTTTATCGTGCAATATGACGAGAAAAGGTAACGATTAGAGGGTACAGAGAAAAGGAAAAAGAAATAGACACAGATCAGTGAGTGATAAAGTGAAAGATTACATAGAGGTAGAAACAGAGATATATCCTGTACCAAAGTTACACCTACGTTACGTATAGATATATAAAACAGCGAGCACACGAAGCAAAGATACTGATTAATGACTGAGCGACGTTAAAAAAAGAGCAAGATGCTATAAACCGAGACCACGACAACATGCTACTTACTAGCTTGGACGACGGCAGTAGCGGCTTGATTTGATGCGGATCGCGTATCGAGGGATGATTTGGATGATGGATCATTGCCGGCGGCTGCAGCCGCAGCTGCTGGATGCCCGCGGGCCAATTTTGCCTGAACCTCGTCATTCGCACCTCGGCACCTTTGGCTTAAATCTTTAACGCCGCGCTCCGGCCTGGCCGCAGCAGCAGCAGCACCCGACGTAGGTGGGTGATGGACGGTCGTATGAACCGAATGCTTTACCGGGGAACGTTTTACCGGGACGGTACTTGCGCTAGTACTGTTAGCGGTAGTGACAGTGGTGGTGGTGTTGGTGGTGATGGTGGTTGTGGGTTTGGCATGATGAAGAGGGCGATGGGGAAGGGCGGTGGTCGCGAGGAAGGCTAAAACATATCGTACAAGAAACAGTACAATTGATGATTAAAGCTCTAGGCCGTTTCTTGTGTGCTCGCAAAAGCTTGCCTAATCTGTCTAGTCCCGATAAAAGTTGAAACTGTTGATCGCTCATCGGAAGTATGGTCTTTAAATGTGTTCGCTCTTGAGAAACTAAAAGAAAGCTTTCGGAAAAAAAATATAAAACGATCAATTTTGTTTGCAAAATTTTAATCTTAAGATTTATGCATCTTATATTTTTTTATTTAACGATAAAGTTTAATTTTGTCAATAATTACTTGATTTTTAACAAGTTCCAAGTATTGTGCTTATTGTATACAAATTCTGTTGTGTGTATATTGATACAATATATTTAAAATATAGATTTTTTTTACTATGCCGAACTGATTATAGAATAGAGTTCTTCATCAATAACTCTCTTAAGACAATGTATGTTGAAAAATTTTGTTATTTATAATGAGATATGTTGTTTTATCAAAACGCAACCCAATAAACTCTGTTTGTTGCAATAATATAACGCGATAGTAACAAATAATATAACGTAATTTATCTATATGATATAAAATTGTAATACATGGTGCTACTCAAAAGTTTAGGGAATTTGAATTCGACACGCGAACCGATTGTAGTACGGTCTACCGTTGCTAGATAAGGGGAATAATATTCTTTGTGAATTAGGTATAGCTGCTCGTTGCAAATTCATATTTTTTTCTTTAAAACAACTATGTGCTTTATTTACACCAATTGATTCCTCTCATTATTTCGTGTACAAAAGTATTGTGATAAGATAATCAAAAAATAAATAGTTTACAAGATATTTCATAGTTTATGTAAAATTGTCAAATTAAAATAAAATATCTTGTAAATTGTTCATTTTCTGGTCATCTTACTCTTATAACTTTTTAGGACGAATATTGGGAGGAATCGACTATAAAAAAATCAGGGCAGTTTCGTTTAAAAAAATGAAGACGATCTTGAAATAACCTCATGATCTTCATCCGAAATCAAATCAATGGCATCATCTTATGTTCCCCTCGAAATCACAAAACTTTTCTGTACGAAACATTTTTCGATGGAAATCTTGGTTTTCGAGAAAAGCGTCATTTAAAATGCGAAGATAAATCGGAATAAATTATGAAAAAGGTTGAGAATAGTTATTATTAGACTCTTTGATATGCAGTAAATTCTTTGAAAATGCTAAACCGATATGGGATGGGCGGGCAGCAGGTATGTAGCCAGGTATATTAAACGTACATTTACGATGCGCGGCTTGGAAGGGTGTCCTGTGGAGCAGAGCAGGCCCTGGGCCCGGGGGTGGCGGCGGTAATGGCGGTATAGATGGTGTCAACAAGCCAGTCACCGAGGAAACTGGAGTCGCGAGTTCCCGTATGCTCCAACGGACACGGTGGCCTGGGCCCGCCGCGGCTGAAACACCCGCTGCCACACCTAATCAATCTGATTCACGATACCTAATCCCCCAATCGTATATTCTCATGAGAGAAAAAGAATAGGGTTTGCATAAGAAGAAGATACATAATTCGAAACGAGAATTATTTTAATTGAGAAGATAAGCGTGATAGGAGATTATTAAAATGATAATAATGATGACAATAATAACGAAGCGCGATAATGATAGCGCAGACGTATAAAAACCGAAACAAGATCGTCTTGAGAAAATAGGGAGCATGATGATGATAATGATGATGACGATGATGATGATGAAAGCTAATCATTGACAATAATGGAAGATGTATTATTCATTGGTTTTATAATTACATCATTAAAGTTTCGCGAAAATTGGAGTAATTTTTTAAATGCATTAGTTTGTATGTATTGTGTGTATACAGATTATATATATATAATAATTTTGTTGTTGATTGAAATTTGGTTATTAATATATTATAAAAAAAAAAAAAAACGATGATAGATCTATGGTTGATTAACCCTAGCTATGATTGATTATCCACTATACCGGGTCATTCATGACTTATTTTAAAAACATTTTATAAAACTTGTGCAATAACCGAAACAAATATTTTATATGTGCACAAAATATTTTTCTTTTTTTTTATTATCATGTATAAGTAATATTTTAAGAAAAGAAATTGATATATATATAAGAACTACTATATATGTATACATATAAAATTAAAATCCATTATAAAATTTCAATTTGAGATACATACAAAAGAAATTTTGCTATAAATCAGAATTTATTACCTTCTAGCTTCTATCATGCGCGCGGTTGTTATAAAATCAAGCATTCATGTTATAGAATCAGCCATCTCTATTCTAGAGTTAATATAATAATGTCGAGAAAACGTAATCATCGTTATAGATTAATGCAATAGTAGGTGGTAGAGGTATAGTACAGTGATTTTCCGTTAAAAATTACCAAGGTACATATTTTCATTTGTAAAGTTTGTAGCACACAAAAATAATGGAACACACGCAATTATTTTAAAATTTATTTTCCCTTACATAGTTTATATTTTTTTATTAGAATTATTTTTATATACATATTTCTTTTTTAAATTTTAATTTATTCTAAATTTATTTTTCTTTAAATTTTCTCGTTTTGTATACTTAATATTGTAATGAAAATCGAGCATACTCATAAAGAAGAAAATTGAAAAAGAATTATCAATATTATATGTATTGAGAGAGCGCAAAATTATGTTCAAGTAATATATAATTATATCGAATTTTCTTATTATATTTTCCACATTATTGATACAATTATTTATCTAGAGGAAATTAGATAATAGAAATCATGAAATATACGTTATAAATTCGCATTAATAGAGTACTGAACGTATAAATGACAATATATGTTTTGATAAGAATTATGAAATGGCAAATAAATATATGTATAATGAATTGCGTTCATGAACGATGGAGTCGATATGGAAACCTATCATTATGATTCATCATATATAAGATAAAAATAGAATTTTGCTTGCTTAATCGCAAAGGGCGGCAGAGGTTAGGCGAAAAATACATCGCATGATAGTCTTCATACAGTCTATCGATATAACTACTGATTACTAGACGAGAGTTTTAAAGGCAAAGGCAAAGAGATAGAGACAAGTAGATAGGATTGTCATGCATCTGCCTAAACATTAATGATGAGGCAATTATGAATAATTGACATTCACCGCATAGCAAATGTTTTTATGCGAATATATCTCATAAAATATATTCTTAGCAGAAATAAAATATATATATTGTGTATTTGATTATATATATATAATCAAATATGCTCTCTCCTCAGCAATTAAAAGTTAAATCATATTTAAAATTATTTAAGCTTTTAAATTAATTGGAAAATAAATTTTTATTTTCTTAGATCAATATTGACCAAAAGGAATCCAGTTCTCTCCAATGATCTTGACTTTGGCATATATTACGACTATGAGTAATCTTCAAAGGATTTTAGTTGTCGCTCGTTATTTATTAAAAAAATATTAACGAATAAAGATTTATGCAAATAAAACACAATAAAAATTCAATAAATAAATAAATTTTCAATATTGACAATATATATATATATTATTTTACATATCATATTCTACATACATATTTAGACAAATAGACAGCCTTTTATAAAGTGTGTTTAAAAATCTCAAAAATTGGAAAGTGAATATATGGACATGGAAAGGGCTCCACATAAATTTGCAATTTTCCATACGAGAAATGAACTCTCCACATCGCCCGGTGCTTTCAGTGTGAAAAGGTGTATAATTATATGTTTGTATATGGTTTACAACTTTCTGTATATATTAAATATATAGTTTATTCACGTTTGGACGTTGCTTTGCATTAAAAGTTCCAAACTCATATAAAAGTATATAATTATAAATCTCATCACACACACACACACACACACACACACACACACACACACACACACACACAATAAAAGCATAGGGTAATGTAGTATGGATCTCGCTTTGCATAGAAAGTTGCAAACACATATATGTAAAATTATATAATTTATCAGACTTTGTTCTGCAAATGAAAGTACTGGACAACATGGGATGGATCTTGCTTCATGAAAAGTTGCAAACCTATGCAAAGAGATTTTTCCGTGTCGATATATTTACTTTTAAATCTGTGAGATTTTCGAACATCCTTTACAAAGATCTGTCTTTTCTAAATGTATATGTGTAAAGCATGGCTTTGTAATAAATTATGGTCAACATTGAACTTTTTATTGCGAGTTTAACTTGATTTGCATAGAACTTTATTTGTTAATAATTTTTTAATAAATAACGACCGACGGCTAAAATCTTTCGGAGGCTACATAAAGTCGAAATCTTGACCAAATATGTCAAAGTCAAGTTCATTGAAGCTAGGGATCCTCTCTTGTCAATATTTACCATCATTTCTTAAAGTTTAACAAAATGCACTTTTGTTATATAAATAAAATATATATAAATCTCGCGAGCGGTGAGCATCTTTGGCGTACAATTTGTATACAAATATAATAATCATGTATATACGACGAATTATATAACGTTCGACTTTCGAGGCCCACAAGAGCAGACAGCAATCGATAAAGTTGTATACAATATAAATATATATGTACTCTATTTCTAAATCCAGTTTATGCACGAAAATGCAAAGGGGATTCGACTGACAAATTACGAGCTTCAATCGATTCGGGATACAATCTCCTGGGATACTGGAAATCGACTGATAGTACTTTTGGTATAGCTAATGTAAAATATAATTGCCATTTGGTTTATATTACTTACTCGGTCGTGGATGCCTTTCGCGCTCGCTGCTTTTCTCTCTTTGCTCTTTATCCTTCATCTCTTTCTCCTTCTCCTTAACAAACAAAAGTAAATTTCTTGGAATAGGTTTGATGCAATATCAAATCGCGATCGCAGTTTTATCCATTTAAATAATCTCGTAAAATTAAAATTATTGTATGAGTAATAATATATTATTAAAATATTATTTTTTCTTTTAAAACATTGTGTTTTTTAAGATTGTTTCCAGTAAAAGAATTTAATTATGTTGTATGTATATGTGTGTACAAGATAGCTTTATTAGAAAATTTTCAGAATTGGATCATCTACATTGGTTTTTGTATTTGTAATCGTCAATAGACAAATTTCGGTCTGATAAATTGATGACATATAACACATGCTGAGTCCTATTTCTTCCTAAACAACGGCAGTTTCTATACATGTATATTGTGAATGCAGTAACGTCACAGTTGAAAATACCCGCGATTGAACAACAAACATCAAATTTTGTGTTTTGCTTAGAAAAATTAGGATCACAGGCCTTAACCAAGTTTCAGCAAACGTTTAAAAAAAAACATCAAAAGTTAGGATATCAATTAAAAGTTATTATTTATAGATAATATACCTTGGCGTCCTTAGTAACGGACGGTGCGCGTATAGGCTGACGTTTAGGAGATCTACGATCGGTGACAGTCGGTCCAAGACTCTGCGAGCGTCCGGTTCTCGGACTGTTTTTGGGACTGGATTTAGTTCGCGGCTGAATCTCGTCTCGATGCTCCTTGATATCGTCGCGACGTCGTGGGATCACAGGCTCCAACTTCTCTCGTGTTGGAGAGGGAAGTAGTGCACCGTCACCTTGGTAGAACAAAATTTCTCTTCAATTCGTTTCAAGACAATTTTTATAGAAAGCTGGAATAATGAAAAATATAGATATATAGATAGTTATAGATATTTATAAAAATTATATAGTTAATTATATATATATACTTGAAAACTTTGATAAATAATTAATTTAATAATTATATATTTTTTTTATAAAATTGTGTATATATAATTTATTTGTTCGTTTATTAATCGAGTTATATACACAGAGTGTTACAGATGAATGGGCAACATTTAATATTACTTGTTTTTTTCATCGAAACACGAAAACATCCTATATAGATATGGATTTTCTTTGATAATGATAAAGATTAATGTAGTTAAAAATATAGTTATTATATTAATGTTTATTATATTGTTTTTAAATCAATTGATTTAACTGATTGTGAGTTATTAACACGTACCCACACCAGTAGTACGGTCAAGATGGTGACGGATCAAGAAATCCTTTCTTGCGCGAGCGGTGGCTCGATCATTATCCTATGACAAAATTAGTATCAGAAATAATACATTATAGTTTAGATATAATCACTGTTAAAAAAATATTATAAGTACCTTCCCATTATCAGTGGCGTTACTTGGTTCTACATTTAATTGTAAGCGCATCATAAATATAAATTTCGGATTAAATTTGTATCTGTACATAAAATTTCATATTTTTTTTTTTTTTTTAGGAAAATTGACGGTTTTAGTAAGTTTTTAAAAAGTAATAGTTGCAAAAAAAATTGTTATACACAAAATGATCGCGCATTTTGAGATATCCTTCATAAATTAGCGAGAGTAACGCTCAAATCTCCTTAAGAAAATAAAAAGAAAGTTGCATTCTCTTAAAATGCTTTGACAACACCCGATAAAAGCCGATCTTATGAAAGCATAGAAGATCTGCATACCGCTTTAGTATCGTCCTGCAATAAACCATGTATCGGTCTATCTTGCTCCGAAGACGGTCGGCCCGCTGGTGGCTTTGTAGCGATCATGCTGGCGATCGGTGCAACCTTCCTATTCTCCTTCTCCTTCTCTTCCTTAGTAACCGATCTAAAGAGTCGATCAAAAGACGGTTGTATGATAGTCGTATTAGGTCAACTATCGAAATATGAAGAGGAAATAAAAAAATAAAATTTAATAAAGCTACCTGTGTTAAGGAATAGAGAGGTATGCATAATTTTTTTATAATGATAGATATATATCAGGTTTTTAATGTTTCTTCTCAATAAAATTTTCATCAAAGACACAACTAATCCTTCTGAAATACTTTTCAATTATTATTACTTTTAATTAATGCGAGCAAAATTATCTTACCTTCTCGGACGTTTTGCGTAACAGTGAAAGTCTTGCCGGTGTCAAGAGGTACAGTCCAGTTTACAGGTTCTGGTGAACGCATGATCATCTGTTCTGGCGACTTTACCCTTGTCGGCTCCGGCGGACTTTTCACTACTGGTTCATCATCTAACCACTGACTTGCTTGCATTGCAGACATCGGCACTGCCGCGTGTTTTTGCGACGGCGGCGTCGAGGCGACACTCGAATCTCCACCGGTGACATCTCCGTTTATCTGGGGCTCTGCCGTCACTGGAACGTTTAGAGCAAATTTTAGTTTTATCATCGATATCAACCCTACATCCTGTGTCTCGGTGATGGTGAGTCGAACTGCCCTTGCACTCGATGATAAGTCAAATTGCCACGGTCAACTCGTATGTTAGATATTTCGCACGTCTTGATATTAATTAATAATTTATTTCTTCATTTATCACAAATTGCTTATAAAAAACTGCTCTAGTTAACAGTTAATAACGTTCGTGTTAAACAATAAATATCTAGATTTCGATTATCATGTTACAAATGAGTTTGAGAGATTTGCTGTTTAATTTAAAAATTAATAACTAACGAAAATCACGGATTATTGCTGCGACGAAATATAATTACCTCTTTATTAATACACAGAAAGTTAGCTAACTACGACGAAATCAGTGTGAAGGTGCGAGCACGCTCGAACATTTGTGAATTTTTCTCCGCAAAATCGTGACTGCTTTCGCTTGTGAACGACACGCTTGTGTAGTGAACAACATTTATAACACCATGAAGACAATAAATATAAATAACATCTGTAGTCCGATACCAAAATATTTGATGCATTTTTATCTGTTTATATCTGTCAGTAAGATTTCAAATTGCTTGAACGCGCACACAAATACATATACACACGCATACATCAACCCTATCAGAGATTCATTTCTTCCAACATGTGAACGATTTTTGAAACAATAAATTGCATTATGATATACGAATTGTTTAAAGAGATATACAAAGATGATTGATATTCAAAGTGCGTTAATGCATGATACACAAAGTGCAATCAAACACACATGTTTCTGAAAAGGTTTTTAGAGTAATTTTACATTAATTTCTTACTTACAATTTTCGTATCTGAAAAATATGTTTGTGAAAAAACGAAATACAAGTTTGTGATAAATTTGATTGAAAGAAAATTCATATGTACCACACTATATAAATCTAGTTTGCTGCTGATGATTTTTGGCAATAACAATATTTTATTTGTTACGGTATATCTAACTACGCGTTTTTGTGTGAAACGTTTCTCAAAAAGAATAGACTCGGATCGCAAATTGAACTGACAATGAGTTGAATTGAGAGAAACATCAATCGTGTAATAGCAATCACAAAACAATGAGTTCTTTATTAGAAAATGATGTACTAGCCTGGCAAGAGATAGAGCGTTGAGCGCATGATTATTGGAGACTTGTTTCCACAATGAAGCCTCGTCTTCGGCTGTCAGATCCCAGTCACAACCCCAGTCACGATGCTAATGTAAACCAAAAGATATCAACATCTATGTGTTAACGACTAAGAAATTAGTAAAACTCTCTATGTGAAACACCAATTTTACATTTACCGGCCTAATAAGAGCCAAAGAGCGGATGTGCGTCAGTTTCAAAGAAAATTAAATTTTTCTTTCAAACTGAATCGTTGTGCATGGGGCACATTTTTTTCCTTGGTACAATACCAAATAACTAATAAATCTCAATTCGAGATTTTTATTAAAATAAACCACCCTGAGTTCCTTAAAGAAACATAGACGAGAAAAATATCGGAGCGAAGTCGCTGAATGGGGAACGATGTAAGCAAATAAATAAAAAGATACGTACTTCTTATTTTGATCTAGACATCTATAACATCCAAAGCTTATCAAAATCGGAGGAAAATACTTGCATTATTTTTCTTATAAAAGCCGGTTGCACCAATGCTGATCAATATTTGCTTCGATTATATCATATCATTGAATGAATTAGGCAATCGAGAAAATTATTTATGTTTAAACAAAATATTAAGTTCGGCAAACCTTTCGTTTTTAAATTCTTTTACCAATCTAGAGCCGATTTATTCTTATTGTTAGTTGAAATATCGAAAATAAGAGTATTTATCGCAGAAGTTAGTATTTATTGTAAATTGTAAATTTTTTCCCACATTGAGTATTTTTATAGCTAAAGAAACATTATTTTTTAACTTAATCATAGATTTGCTATAAAAAGTGTGTTTTGATATGTCTAAAAAATAAATCTGGGACATTGAAAATATTTAAATTAACAAATCATTAACCAGAGTTAATTAATCAGATCATCAGTGCTAATCGGCCTAAGAGAACACAGAACATGCTTGAAAAAACACTAAATGCCCTGTTCGGATAACATTTGAGAATATATTCAGAAATAGTATAACAAAACTACGAAATCGTGGAAAACGATTAAACATCAATTTTGACACAGAATTGTTTGTTAGTGAAAAGTCACGTGTAAATAAAATGAGTCTACTTTTCAAATAATTGCTTTCAACGATTGTTTTGAAAAAAAGTTTTAACGACGAAGATCGAAAGCCGTATATTATCAGTATGATGTATTATACCATTGCTTAAAGCAGCGATTTGCATCGCACACTTGTAACCGTTGAATTTTCGTTGTTACATGAAACGTCACGTAATACAAGAAAACGATACAAAACATATAAAATCTTGACGATTGAAAAATTGTTTATTTACGCCTGAACGTTGAAAAGTAAACTCGATATTTAATTAGATTAATTAAGCAATTGTATGCAATTGAGTGGATACGAAGAATGAGAAACTATGATAGGGGTTATTTACGCGAGAGGGATGAACTGCGTGAAGAAAATCAGCACGTGCTAATTCGAAGAAAAACCTTGAAATAACCAAACCTTCTGAAATAACAAAACGAATCCCACGGATTACCTTATACTCGTCAGCGAGTCGCCGAAGCTCGATTACCTCCGCCATAGGAAATGGTTTCACTTGCGATTTGCCCGGCGCCTCCGATACCCGTACGTTTTTATTTAACTTTTTTTTCCTGCAAATAATCAATTTTACGTGTAATGATCGTGTAAATCATCATCGTTAACAACAATTGTTGTCATCGTAATCGTGTCGCGTTATCACACGTTATCGCGTCTTCACACCGATAGAAATCGTCGTAGATGCCTTCTTTTATTTCTCGTTTTTATTTATTTATTTCTTTTTTCGTTTTCTCCTGTCCTTTCGTGAAAGCTTTACGCGAGAAAACATATTAACAATTCCGGTTGACAATCTGACCTGAAAGTTATTTTCAAGTCCGTTATATCCTCTTCGCGCTCGTCGCCCTCTGGTACCATCCCGTCGATTGCATCCGTTCCGCTGCCTACCAATGGTTCCAGTTCTGACGCCTGAATCCCTATAAGAAACATATGAAAAAATACTTGCGAGTAATGTATACAATTTCGTTCTTAGACATAATTAAATTTTTCTTTGGTTTGATGCATTTTACATCACCAAGTTTGATTGAAGAAAAAACATTACAAGTTTCAAATGCATTGAAGAAATGTAATTGGTATATATATATAATTTGCGAATAATAATATACATATAAATAAAAAAGAGAGAGAATTTTATTTCTTTTTCTCCGGAGGGAATGGATTTTTACTTAGCCTCTTTACTCTTTAAAAATAAAAATATCGGAATCCGTTTGTCTTGTATCCGCTATGCTTATTGTATCGCACAAGCGCTTAAATCTATCACTATGACATTTTAAATATTTTCTAATTATATTGTGATATTGTGTTTAATATATAATGATTTAATATATTTTCAAAGTGCGCATCGAATCAGAATAGAAACAAAAACCAAATCTCTTTCGGAAACTGTAAAGAATTTTATGTAACATCTCTTTTGAGATGCCATTCACCTTGAAAGAGATTTGATTTCTATTGCAATTATGACGATACGCACTTGGAAAATATATATCATTAAGATTGTCGATATTTTTTTATAAACGTTTATTAAATGATAAAAATATCGTCATTACGCTGTCGCTATATAAAACGCTATATAAGCGAGTCGCGAACAAAGTCTAAGTTTACGATAGATTGTACTGATAAAATCCATATCTCGTGACAATTTTATTTTGTTCGCTACGATAACAGATAAACATTGTTGCTATGCATTCATAATAAATAAATAATTCCTGTCTCACCATCGGACGTTCGTGCTGTTCGTGCGCGTACTGGCTGTTCATTATAGTGGCCGTTATTAAAATTTAATATTTTAAATAATTTAAAATTTTATAATTGTAAAATGTAATAAAAATAATTTTAAAGGGAGATTATTTTATGTGTATACAATATGAATAGTGATCATTAGCAGTGAAAGGGTTAATTTATAATTAACGCAAGTATATTATAATTAACACAGAGTTTTTTGTTTAAGAATTATGACATTCCTTCGGATCTATTGATTAACATTGGAATATATGCAGATTGTCATGACAATGAACAAGTACCATCACGTTTGTGTCCGAAGTCGCCTGGTCGCTTTTTGTGTACCGGTGCCGGTCCAGTAGTCGTTATGCCTTGTTTAAGGGCCCCCATGCTGAGCGACTTCCTTGGCGGGTAGTGGCCTGTACTGGCCGCGGAAAAACCCGCCGCTACAACCGGTGCCTGAGTTTCGCCATTTATCAGCTGAGGTTTTTTAGGCCAAGCAAATTGCAGCCGGTATTCGGTGCTTATACGAGATATCGCTTTGCTCAGCTGACTTGGTGGCAATGCCGATGTGACTTCCTGCAATGCAAAAGTCGATATTTTAAACTCAATTAATATTTTGATACACCTTGGAAATTAATATATCTAATGTCGTACGTTTCATTTTTTTTTCTTTTATTACACATACAACTCTTTAGGAATAATTTAAAAAATATTCACAAAAATATCAATCTTTATATGCTAATTTCTATATGCTGACCTTGTATTTCTTAATTCTCGGAAGAATTCTATCGTTAGTTCTTTCTTCCTCTTGTTGTGTTTCGATTGATGATAAATTTGCTATCTTTAATAGTAAAATATTAAATGCGGTATTTAAAAAACAGCTCCGGAACAATGTGTATCAATAAACTGGCCTGCTGCTCCGTGAATAACACGCGATATCAGCACGAAAGAAACAGATTGTATAAGTCGGCTTTTAGAACTCTGCATATATCTATAGTTTACGCAACGAAAAAAACTTTGCACAGAATATAATCAGATATGTCCAAATTTCGCATTATATAGATAAATTTCAATTTTTAAGGACCCCTTTGAAAGAGACCAAACACACTCCGATTTACTTAATTAACGATTGATCTATCCAGCAATATCTTTTTATTAATACCATTTTATTAATATTATTTTGATACTAGAATATAATCCATAAATCTATCCCATACCTTATCAGCTACGACGTTCGAGTCGATGGCATCGATACCACCACCGTCCGCTGCTGTGATAAACCCGTGTGTCTTATAAGCAAGCTCTGGGCATTTCTTTCGTCTGGGTAATGGTGGTTCCAGAGTAGGTCCTGCAAAGTTCATAATTTTTTTTTAAAAAATCTCATTATTATTATTTTTTTTAATTGAATTGTAATGTCATCGCTTTATTTGATTGTTTGGTCTTTTAATCGCAAATATACCCAATTGTCTAATTGAATTATATAATCAGAGATCTTATGATATACATGTTTGATCAAAACATTGTTTAAATATTGATCAAATACGACTTTCACAAACTCTTATTTTTAATAGTATTTATTTAACCAATTTCTTCCTTAAAGATGGTTATCTAAGAGATTCTTTTTTAATTTATTAATTTGATGCCGGACTTATGTTCGTAGATTCATTACAACTCTTAATGATTATTTATTGTTCCCTTTTATTTTAAATTGAATTCCGCGTCGTTTTTCAAGTGACAAATACGTATAAATACAAATATACAAGTTCGCAAATTTGCCTCGGTGAGGGGAAAGAATTTTTAAAATTCAAAACACCTTGACAAAATTCCGGTTAACTCTCCGAGTATATGTAAAGCAAGATAAACATAGAAGCCACTACATTTGCTGCGATAAAAAAACGTGATGAGAGATCGCGGAGGATTGTAGAATTCCTGCAACGTTTTAATGCTGGGTAAAATAAAACACTTATGGAAAATTGGAGTAATTTTAAGCGGCATGCAGGTAAACTTTCGGAAAAGCAGATAAAAGGCATGACACTGAGCGATAATAATGAAAAGTAGATATAGAATAAAAAATGCCAAATGCATGTTTTTGTCGCGGAGAATCTTCCGCGTTAATTTTACAATTCCATGGTGACTCATTATTCAAGCATTTATTCGCGTTATGCGCCCATTGGTTTTTCGACTCGTCGTTTTCCTTCATGATTAAATCATAGGTTTTTAGAATGGCAGTATATTTACCGACAAAAATATAAATAATTTGTTTTATTTCTCTCGTCATTTAATAATTGGCATATATGACCATGAATGAGACAATCAAGTTTCTATAAGTCTACAATTTTCCAATTAATCACTATTGACATTTATATTCTTTAATTCCGCAAGTTTTATAAGATAATTTCTCTTATAAAACTTGCTTATCGTAAATTTCAAGAGATTAAAATTTCAAAATCGAAGACTTGTAACAAATTAACCTTAAACATCATCTGTTTGCTTAATTTGGATAAGACATCAGGGACTTACAATACTCCGATCTTTAACTGCAACCTGCTATTTAATCAGTTATATTTTGGTGATCAAGTTTGTAAAAGATAATCATGTAAAAACTATTTATTATTTGTAAATTCAAATCTTACATTTCGATAATTTGTGAAAATCAAATCTAAACCGATATGATATTTTTTATTTAAATTTCGAATGCGCTAAGCAGTATTTGTATTTTCCTTCCGGATCACTTTATATGTAATTTTTAATAAGGAATATGTTGCTTAAACTAAAGAGTGTATTGTAAAGCATACATATAAAGTATGAGTATTATACTCAAGTATTGTAAAAAAGATTATATTTTTTGAAAAATTGTGAAACAAGTCGCTTATAAAAATTCGCGTGTTTCTCGATATTGAGTGCTTTCCATTCAAGTTACGAGTCGATACAAATCGATTCTTATAATCGTTTCAAGCAAACTCCGGTTAATTTAATTATTAATTAACTTGTAGAATAATTAAGCAAAATTTATATATGAATATATATTTTTTTTTTTTTATTAGGGTGATCATAGGAGTCGATTTGTGTCATGAAAAGGAAAGCATTTATTGTGTGAAAATCAAGCGTGCTATGTTCTATTTCCACTAGCCGCGATATGATTTCACGCGTCATAGAAACGATTCTCTATACATATATTTAGTTGTACTATTTTTACGGTCTGATGGCAACGAGATGCATATACACATAGGATCGATGTAATACAAGTCATGTCGAGTATTAAGTAATTTTTTAGTCGCATTTGTGCCTACTTCTTACACGATATCTCATTTGCTAATGAAAATCTGAATTAATTGTTAATCAAAATTTAAATTAAATCTTGTTAAGTTTACTGTAAATTAAAGGTTCGATTAAATCGGCATGTGATGTACAAACAATTATCATTATCGTAATACTAAAGCAATTGTTGTTCGGTATCCTCGCACTTATATTACGAACAAAACAAGTTCAGCCAATTAATTTTCAAATATTTTTAGTCAAAACTTGATTGTGCTACTAATGTGTCGACCAAACATTAAATTGTTAATAATGATATAATACTACGCAGATCAAGAGTTCTTGACTTATCACGTACAAATTACGCAAACCGTATTCGCATCCTTGCTTATGTAAAATGCGGAAAATTCATGCATGATTGTGAGACTGTTTTTCACTTGTTGACATATCGCAGCTCATAGCAAATTCGGTCATCTGCAATACACTGTACTAATGCATATTAAAGCTACATGAAGTTACCTAAATAAAAAAGAATAATATAAACATTTAAGTAATTAAAATTCAATCATGATATATTATCATTTTTTAGCAGAGAACATACAATATTATTTCATCATCAAAGTATTTATATATTATTATATACATATTATCATTACATTTAGATATACTTCATATATAGCAGCCTTTAATATAGAATAGTGTGGTATAATTCAGGTGACCAAATTCGTTATCAGTTTCGTTCAGGATAGTCAGTGGTTGAAAATATCGCTGTGCTTTTTATAGCAGCTGATGGTGAATATAAAAATAAATATATATAAGATACTCCCCCTCTCTTTTCCCTTCATTTTCCTCCCTTTCCCTCTCCCTTTCACTCTCCCTTCTCGATTCGAGCCTAAATAACTTTATATATATTGTATTCCATCGAACACGAATGCTTAAATAATTTAAATAATTGCAAAATATAATACGAGAAATTATAAAGCAAAAGAAAAACTTTTATTTTTTTGCAAGCAGAATTTAATGATTTTTTTTTTATCACAATATCTAATAAGGAAAAACTTTATTCACTAAATATTCGGGTATGTTTATCATAAGACTGGCACTAACAATAAGATTTAAGATTAATCTTTTTGTACATGTTATACTGATAAGTCTTACTTATTTATCTTTATTATTATAGAAGGGCAGAGTCCTTTCCCCATCCACGCATGTACTTTGCAATAAAGTAGAACAATAAAAGTTCCCCTTTGCATTTAAGAACTGACAGAAAGGATTTTATTCATTATAATATATGTAAAAATCAAAAAATAATCGATGAGATGTAACCTTTTCGGAAGATTTACCATAAATCTTAATCTTTTTGAAAAATTTTATAACGGCGATAATCACACAATCATTATTATGATCACGCATTTTTTTTTTTCAGGTCATCTTAGATTTTAATAGAAAGGATAATTGAAGGATAACAATTTAATAACATTGGACTATGTATGGACGATAAAAATATTCAGCTCAATAAATAAGAATATTGTCGAAAAAGCTAAATATTTATTTATATATATGTATTTTGCACACATTATGTCTTGCTTTCTATAATAATATAATGTAGCTGTATAATATACATACATTATGAGGCATATGCGCTCTGAATTTTGTTATTTGTAACGAATATTATTTTAGATCTTAGATAATCGTATATTAGAAATTGCGATTTTTCACAGTAATCTGTGTTTTCATTATGCATATTATTTCAATATTGAAATTGATTTCAATAAATTTCGAGAATGTGACTAATACTGATTCATTATTGTGTATGTGTGTGTGTGTATGTGTTATTTCCTTCAATTAATGTATTACTTCTTTATATTATATATATGTATATAATCACTATTACAATCGGCCTGAAATCCAAGAAAAGTGTATATGTATCTATAAGCGAGCGCTTACGGTAAATTATTTATTCATTTATTTATTATAAAATCTTTATATTGTATATAATCACTATTACAATCGGCCTGAAATCCAAGAAAAGTGTATATGTATCTATAAGCGAGCGCTTACGGTAAATTAGTAAATTATTTATTTATTATAAATTATATA